TTTAACGACTTGTTCATCGGTTTTTGCCTATCACACCCGGTCTTGGACCTATAAAATTCTTTTGTCTTGGTCGATTCGCTCCCACCCTCACACTCCTTGTGGTGCCCCGAGACCCTCACAGTCTGTCCAAGACTTGGGCATATGGCTGAGTCTCGTGTTCAAGGCATATTGTCTTGTTTACTCGTGAAATTATGAGAGCATGTCATCGCATTCCAGCGCCTTCTCCCCAAACCCTTTTTTGAGCAGGTTGTGCACCTTGACCTCCTGAGAAAACTCGGTCTGCTTGGACAGGAGCCGTTCAGCAATGATAGACTGGAACTCTTTGATGAATATGTCCTGCGAGCCCAGCGCGTTGATCAGCGTGCCGATGACGTCCTCCGACTTGGGCCGCTTGTAGTTGACGCCGGCGTCGACAGGATCGGGCACCCAGTCCATGTCGTTCCAGTCGAGCTCCTCGTCATCGGCCGTCTGCCGGCGCTGCTGCGCGGGATCGTTCAGCAGCGCAGCCAGCTCCTGCAGCCTGCCCATGCCGCTGCCGCCGCCCGCCGCCGCCGCCGCCGCCTCATCGGGCCCGGACAGCAGACCTGTGACGACAATGCGGATGGCGTCATCTCGCTGGCAGAGGTACAGCTGAAGGTTGTGGACCACGCGCTCCAACAGGACCTTGGAGTGGTCGAGGGCGTGAAAGGTGCGGATCATGGAGATGTACACCTGCAGGATGTCCAGCGTGGACCGCCCGGGGTGGAGCAGCCGTTTCTGCAGCGCGGCCGAGAAGGTGTCGGTCAGCTGCAGTCGCCTCTGGGGCGTCGTCACGGCCACGCGCAGATCGTCGAGGGCGTCTCTGCTCTCGGGCCAGTGAAGCACAATGTCAAAGAGCTCGTGGATGCGCGTAACCGCCAAGCGCCCAACCGCAATCTCCTTCCACTCCTCGACGTGCTTCCAGGCGACCACCTCGGCGCCAAGGCGGTCAAATACCTCAACCGCCAGACGCGCGTAGTGGTTCTCGACCCAGTCGTGCAGGGAGGCGATGCACGGCGACAGCGAGCCCGCGCGGCGCAGGGATGCTCGTGGCGGCCTGGGTGGCGGTAGTGGTGCCGCTGACGCCGCCGTCTGCGTTTGCTGCGTCCACGCCCCGGCAAAGGACGTCTTGATGTGCTCGACCATGAGGGCGTCCATCATCTCGGCAAAGAGGACCTGGAACTTCTCTCCCGCAAGGCCGACCTTGTGCAAGGCCTCGACCAGCTGACGGAGCTCGCGTCTGGCGCCATCCGTCTGGTCGCTTGCGCTGGCGCTGCTGCCGCCGCCGCCGCGGCGACCTGCATGCTGCGACGCCGCTGGATTGGCAGAGGAGGTCAGCGACTCGGGCTGCATGCGCAGCAGCACGCGCATGAGGCGGCTCAGTACGCGGCGCAGCGCGTCCACAAGCGCCGGGGCCATGGAGTTGCTGATGAGGGCGTGCAGGTCGCGGCGGAAGGCGTCGACGGCACGCTCGGCGGCGGGCTCGTCCAGGCCGCGCGCCATGAGGGCGAGGCCGTAGAGGTACTGGCGGTGGGCTGCCTCGAGCGTGCGGATGCTGCCCAGCAGCACCTGCGTCGCGTCGCCGTGGCCGGCGCAGGCGGCGAGCAGGGGCAGGACGTGCTGCACGAAATGGTGGCGGACCTGGTGGGTGTGCCACGAGAAGAGGTCCTCCGTGTGGGCGGCGTGCGGGGCGTGCTGCGAGGGCTGGAGGACGACCTGCAGGCTCGCGTA